ACACCCTCCCCCCCCCGTATGCGTTTCCAGCTTTAATAGGCGCTCGTTAACAGCACTTACTGCTCCATGCATTACACACACACACGTACACTTGCCTATTTACACACACATAAAAACAAAGATCTACCGTGTAGCCTTCACAGACTGTAGGGGCAAGTGCTGTTAGCGAGAACCTATGAAAGACGGCACGGCACACGAGGGGGTGGGTGGCCAACACCACGCCCGGCCGCCTTTGTCTCCCTCGTGGCGATGTTTACACACCGCACCAGGTACTCGTGTGAGGCTGAGTCGACCTAGGGGGGAGGCCCAGGACCGGTTCAGATAATCGTCACTGGTGTTGGCCGTAGAGCGGGAATCGATCCCGGGTCGCCGGGTTCGTAGCTAAGCGCGCTAACCGCTACACCACCGCTCCCCACACACACCACATGTGCACACACACACACACGTGATGTGAAGCTATTCAATTGTGGTTACAAATGTACATTCATGGCTACACATAGTTATTTCTGTATCATTGGTCAAACATTAAAATACAAATGTAGTAGCTAATACATATGTAGCTATATTTGTGCTACTAAGGATGATCCGGCACTGGTCCTGCACCAGAGACATCCTTCCTTCTGTTCTCGTCTCACCGGTCTCAGCGCAGAGAACGCCAAAAGGCGACCGGTGAATGACTCTCCGTGATGACTGCGAGGACGAGTATTGGTGGAAGCGAGCGGCGGTACGAATGCTTTCAGAACGACGCGAATTCCTCACTTCGGACCCTTAATTAGAAACACTCGCAGTGGCAGCGGGGCGCAAGGCACCCTCTCATGGATGAGTGAACGAGACCTCCACCCCGCCCCCATAGAGCCCTACTGCCAGGCCATTGTGGCAGCGGTGGGAAGTGAAAACGTTATAAATAAATAAATAGATCACTTACAGACAAGGCTCTGTTTAGTCGCCGAAAAAAAGTTATTTGACATTTGGTTTCCTGCGACCTTCCGCGGGTTGGGAGTGGTGGTGGGGGTGGCCTTCTTGGACCAATGTTTTCGAGCAGAATTTGTTAAAGCGGGAAATTCGTGATCCTGGTTTTCCACTTACTTGGGTCCCATCACCGGTAAGGGTGCCAGTGCCCTGGTGTCGTTGTTGACGAGGGTACTTCATCTAGACACCACAGTGACGGTGGTGCTGGTGGGTTTATGTTTTCGAGCAGAATTTGTTCAAGCGGGCAATTCGTGATCCTGGTTTTCCCCTTGCTTGGGTCCCATCAGCGGTAAGGGTGCCAGTGCCCTGGTGTCGTTGGTGAGGGCTCTTCATACAGACACCACGGTGGAAGTGGTGGTGGGTTGTTGGGTCACTTCCCCGCAAATTAAGTGGCGATGTGAACTAAACGGGCTTCCTGGGGAGCGGTGGTGCAGCGGTTAGCCCGCGGCGCCGTGAACCCGAATTTTACGATGTCAACTCCCTGTTACCATATTCTGTCTACCCATACGGTTTACCCGTTTTCTTGTACTGGGGAATGGAGTAGAAACATGTTTTGTCTAATAAATGAAAACAACTCAATTAAATCACGACGTGTCGATTGCGACACAAGCAATCATCATCAAGTGGGACAAGCACAGCAAGGAAATGGTTGTCACACCTGATGATGATTGCTTGTGTTGCAATCGAAACGTCGTGATTTAATTTAGTTGTTTTCATTTATTTTATTTTTTAACCTACGTGACTTAACCGAAAAAAACAAAGAGTATGAATCCTTGCAGCCACGAAAGCTTCAAATCTAGAATGTTTTGTCTATTTGTGTTTTTCCCTTGTGATGGGACTTTGCAGGATGAACGTTGAGATGTGACCAATAAGGTTCGAATTGGTCTGCGATAAGGTCAGGGGTTGACAAGTATGTGTTACGGAACAACATTCAGTGGTATCTGAATCAGTTCTGGGCCACCTCGCGTTTCACTCACCCTCGCCGCCGATGGGTAACGTGAAATAGATGGCCGAATGAAGTTCTTCATTCAGCAGTGGATCGACAAAGGGCTGAATATTGATATCATTTTATTTACTTATTTTTTAAATGTCTCCTGGTCTTGATTGGGGTACTGTAAACTTTTTTTTAGTCAAGAAAAATGTAGCTTTTTTCTTGTTGGTGTTGTTACTTTAATCCTGACTATCGACTTTCAAAAGACGTGTCACTCAAACAAACCTCCCGTGTTTATTCAGGTCATACAGCCAGGCGAGGGCGAAAAAAAGAAACCCAGTCACTCCACTCGTTATCAAAGCAGCCGTCTCTTCTCTCCCCCAAGGTTAAAAGCTGCTCTTTCAGATCTCACGCCCCTTGGACGAACCGCAAAATTAGAGCCCATGGTACAAACAGGTGGGGCGGGTGGCTGACCGGTGGTGTGTGAGGGTGGGGAGCGGTGGCGCAGTGGTTAGCGCTACGCTGCGCTACTAAACCCCGGCGACCCGAGTTCGATTCCCGCTCACGGCGAACACCAGCGGCGATTATACGAACAGGTCCTGGGCCACCCCTAGGTCGACTCGGCCTCAAGTGAGTCCCTGGTGCGGTGTGTAAACATCGCCACTGGGGAGACAAAGGCGGCCGGGCGTGGTGCTGGCCACCCACCCTTGTCGTGTTGCCGTACGGGCCTTCATAGGTGCCACTCACCTAACAGCACTTGCCCCAAAAGCATGTTGAGGCTATATAAGGGTGGATCTTTGCCTCTGTGGTGTGTGACCACAGCCCTGCGTTTGAATTAATGTCATGGTTCAAACCTGGTAATTTGTCTGTAAGCAAAGGTCTACAGCCAGGCTGTGAAACTCATTCTCGATTCATCTTCTTGTTTTTTTCGGTAAAGTCACGTAGAAGGGAAGTAATAAAATAATAAAAATAAAACATAATAAAATAATTCTCACGACGTTTCGGCCACAACGCAAGCAGCCGTCCTCAGGTGAAAACCAGGTCTGTCGAGGCGACAGCGTCCATTCAGACGCAAGAAGATGAATCACTGCAGTCACGAAAGCTTTAAATCGAAATTCATTCTCGATTTTCCACTGGAACATCTGATACGAGCCAGTGCATGGCACTCGGAACCAAAACCGTGATACGATGATCGAGGCAAGACATTGGAAACTGGCTCGGGGCCAAACATTTGCAGTGGGAAAAAAAACAAACTGGCGCCTCCCGTGACGCGGCCTGCCTGGCTCGGCATGCCCCCTCCGCACGGCACGGCTCGGGTGTAGAGTGGAAAATCACGCAATCACAACATTGACGCCACAGACACGTTAGTCCCATTTAATGGCTGCGAATGGTTCAGAGTGCACTAACCACCGTGCCACCGCTCACCCCCGCCCCCTCGCCCCCTCGCCATTCCATAAAATGTGCTGTAAATTAATAATGAATTCCTCGCTAAGAGGCCACGGTTTCGACTGCAGACTGAAAATCTCGACTTTGCAATTCGCGATCGAGGCTGCGCTGAAAGTCCCCAATGCGTTCGCGCTGTACATTTTTGTTTCCACGCGGAGAATCTCTCGTTTCAAACACACCGGTTTAACAACATTCGTTTTATTGCCGGTTCAATCTATGGCTCGCGGAGGTCTACATCCAGCAGTGGATTGATCATGGCCAGCGATTGTATGTGTGTGTTCGTCTCTCGCACCGCACGTAGCCAACCGCGCTCACGATCATTGATGTCGACGTTGAAACGCCTGCCCTCCAGTGCATCACGTGGTCCACAAAAGGCTTCTTCTGAATGGGGAGATGGGAGGAGTGTGTGTGGGGGGGGGGGGGGGCATTACTGTGCATTAGTGGGGGGTACATGGAACACATCCACGGCGGAGGAGGACTGGGGAGGGAGAGACGGAGCGATGGAATAATTTGACGCGCAGGATCGCGGGAAGAGGTTGCGGTGGTTTGGAAGAGAGAGGGAGAGAGATATCTTCATCCAGCAGTGGATTGAGCCCGGCCAGTGGATTGTACCCCCCCCCCCTTTTCCAACAGGCCCCTTGAATGCAATGGGGGGGTAGCTCCCTCTCTGTGGCGACCACAACATTCCTGCAGTGCCACCGCCACCGCCAACCACCACAACCAACCACCACCAACCATCACCACCGCCAACCACCACCACCAACCACCACCACCACCAACCACCACCAGTATGAAAAAAGCGGTCCCGATAGTTTGGTGGTGGCTGTGAGCGAGAGGGTGGGGAGGAGGTGGGGAAGGAGGTGGGGGGGGAGGAGGTGGGGGGAGGAGGAGGGGGGAGGAGGTGGGGGGAGGAGGTGGGGGGAGGAGGTGGGGGGAGGAGGTGGGGGGAGGAGGAGAGAGGAGGGGGGAGGAGGTGGGGGGAGGAGGTGGGGGGGAGGAGGTGGGGGGAGGAGGTGGGGGGAGGAGGTGGGGGGAGGAGGTTGAGGGGGGAGGTGGGGGGAGGAGGTGGGGGAGGAGGTGGGGGGAGGAGGTGGGGGGAGGAGGAGAGAGGAGGGGGGAGGAGGTGGGGGGAGGAGGTGGGGGGAGGAGGTGGGGGGAGGAGGTGGGGGGAGGAGGTGGGGGGAGGAGGTGGGGGTAGGAGGTGGAGGGGGGGGAGGAGGTGGGGGGAGGAGGTGGGGGGAGGAGGTGGGGGGGAGGTGGGGGGGGAGGAGGTGGGGGGGGGGAGGAGGGGGGAGGAGGTGGGGGGAGGAGGTGGGGGGAGGAGGTGGGGGGAGGAGGAGAGAGGTGGGGGGAGGAGGTGGGGGGAGGAGGTGGGGGGAGGAGGTGGGGGGAGGAGGAGAGAGGAGGGGGGAGGAGGGGGGAGGAGGGGGGGAATGGGGCCTCAGCAAGAAACCCTCGCAAAAGCTTCACAAAGGCATTCGGGCCAAACCATTGTACGCTCACAGATACAGGGGGGGGGGTGAGTCTTTGACGATGGGTTCGAAAACAAATCCCCCCCCCCTCTACACAGCACCCCCCACTGGCTGTCGCCGAGGAAGAGAATGGTACGACCCGAAAAAAAGAGTCCATCAGCCAGCAAGCCCGGCTCGCTGTTAGTGCGCTGACTGCTGCTGTTGTTACTGCTGCTGCTGCTGTTGTTGTTGGGATGGGGCTGTAGTAGAACAACAACAACAACAACAACAGTGTTGTGTGGTGGTGGTGGTGGTGGAGCTACTGCTGTTGGAGCTTACAGGGAGGAGGTTCTGCGTGCTTGGAGGTTGAATCCTCGCCGTTTCATTCGTCTTTAAGAAGCTTTCGAGAGCCTCGTTTGTTCATCATCATCATCACACGGTGGATATACCCAGCGCTGCATGAGAGGTGAGTTTGATAACAACACTTGCTCCTACGCTCCGTTGAGGCTACACGGGGGATCTTTGTTTTGTAAGTGGAGGTAGAGCGGTGGCGCAGCGGTTAGCGCTACGCCGGTCCTGGACCTCCGCTAGGTCGACTCAGCCGCAAATGAGAGCACCTTTTCGCGATGCGTAAAACATCGCCACTGAGGAGACAAAGGCGGCCCGGCGTGGTAGCTGGCCACCCACCCCCTCGTGTGCCACAGTGCCGGTAGCCTTCACAGGTACTGCTGCTGCTGCTCGCTAACAGCACTTGCCCCAACAGTCTGTTGAGGCTACACGGGGGATCTTTGTGAGTGGGGGGAGCGGTGGCGCAGCGGTTAGCGCGCTTGCGCTCCTAACTCGGCGATCCGAGTTCGATTCCCAATCACGGCGAGCGCATGGTGGCGATTGTCTGAACTGGTCGTGGGCCTCCCCTAGGTCGACTCGGCCTCAAACGAGGTGGTGGTGATGGTGGTGTAGCAAACATCGCCACGAGGGAGACAAAGGCGGCCCGGTGTTTGTTTCCACCCCCTCGTGCGCCCTGTGTCGGCCTTCGTAGGTGATGCTCGCGAACAGCACTTGCCCCCAGTAGTGTGTTGCAGGCTATACGGGGGATCTTTGTCTTTTGTGAGTTTGTCAGTATGGGAGAGAGAGAGTGTGTGAGTGTGTGTGTCAGTATCCACTGGGGAGACAAAGGCGGTCGGGCGTGGTGCTGGCCACCCACCCCCTCGTGTACCGTTCCGGCCTTCATAGGTGCTCGCTAACAGCACTTGCCCCTACAGTCTGTTAAGGCTATACGGGGGATCTTTGTCAGTATGGGAGAGAGTGAGTGTGTGAGTGTGTGTGTGTCAGTATGGGAGAGAGTGAGTGTGTGTAAGAGTGTGAGTGTGTTTGAGTGTGTCAGTATGCGAGAGAGTGTGTGTGTAAGAGTGTGTGAAAGTGTGAGTGTGTGTGAGTGTGTGAGAGTGCGTGAGAGTGTGAGTGTGTGTTTGAGTGTATCAGTGTATCAGTGTGTGAGAGTGTGTGAGAGTGCGTGAGAGTGTGAGTGCGTTTGAGTGTATCAGTATGTGAGAGTGTGTGAGTGAGTGTTTCAGTATGGGACAGTGTGTGTTTGAGTGTGTCAGTATGCGAGAGAGAGGCTGTGTGTGAGAGTGTGTGTGAGTGTGTGAGTGAGTGTCAGTATGGGAGAGAGTGAGAGTGTGAGTGTAAGAGTGTGAGAGTGTGTTTGAGTGTTTCAGTATGGGACAGTGTATGTTTGAGTGTGTCAGTGTGTGAGTGTATGTGTGTGAGAGTATGTGTGTGTGAGAGTGTATGTGTGAGTGTGTGTGTGTGGAGCGGTGGTGTAGCGGTTAGCGCGCTGCGCTACTACCTGCTACCCGAATTCGATTCCCGCTCACGGCCACCAATACCGGTGACGATTATCTGAACCGGTCCTGGGCCTCCCCTAGGTCGACTCGGCCTCAAATAAGTACCTGGTGCGGTGTGTAAACATCGCCACTGGGGAGACGAAGGCGGCCGGGCGTGGTGCTGGCCACCCACCACCTCGTGTGCCGTTCCGGCCTTCATAGGTGCTCGCTAACAGCACTTGCCCCTACAGTCTTTTACAGGCTACACGGGGGATCTTTGTGATTGTGGGGATGAGTGTATTGTGGAAGTGATTGTGTGGGAGTGAGTGGGGGAGTGTGTTGAGTGGGTGTGTGCGTGAGTGTGTGTGGGAGTGATTGTGTGTGTGAGTGTGTGTGTGGGAGTGATTGTGAGTGTGTGCGTGTGGGTGTGTGCGTGAGTGTGTGTGGGAGTGATTGTGTGTGTGGGAGTGAGTGGGGGCAGTGTGTTGAGTGGGTGTGTGCGTGAGTGTGTGTGGGAGTGATTGTGTGTGTGAGTGTGTGTGTGGGAGTGATTGTGAGTGTGTGCGTGAGGGTGTGGTGTGTGTGGAGTGATTGTGTGTGTGGGAGTGAGTGGGGGCAGTGTGTTGAGTGGGTGTGTGCGTGAGTGTGTGTGGGAGTGATTGTGTGTGTGGGAGTGAGTGGGGGCAGTGTGTTGAGTGGGTGTGTGCGTGTGGGTGTGTGCGTGAGTGTGTGTGGGAGTGATTGTGTGTGTGGGAGTGAGTGGGGGCAGTGTGTTGAGTGGGTGTGTGCGTGTGGGTGCGTGCGTGAGTGTGTGTGGGAGTGATTGTGTGTGTGGGAGTGAGTGGGGGCAGTGTGTTGAGTGGGTGTGTGCGTGTGGGTGTGTGCGTGAGTGTGTGTGGGAGTGATTGTGTGTGTGGGAGTGAGTGGGGGCAGTGTGTTGAGTTGGTGTGTGCGTGTGGGTGTGTGCGTGAGTGTGTGTGGGAGTGATTGTGTGTGTGGGAGTGAGTGGGGGCAGTGTGTTGAGTGGGTGGTGTGCGTGTGAGTGTGTGCGTGAGTGTGTGTGGGAGTGATTGTGTGTGTGGGAGTGAGTGGGGGCAGTGTGTTGAGTGGGTGTGTGCGTGTGGGTGTGTGCGTGAGTGTGTGTGGGAGTGATTGTGTGTGTGAGAGTGAGTGGGGGCAGTGTGTTGAGTGGGTGTGTGCGTGTGGGTGTGTGCGTGAGTGGGTGTGGGAGTGATTGTGTGTGTGGGAGTGAGTGGGGGCAGTGTGTTGAGTGGGTGTGTGCGTGTGGGTGTGTGGGAGTGATTGTGTGTGTGGGAGTGAGTGGGGGGAGTGTGTTGAGTGGGTGTGTGCGTGAGTGTGTGAGTGTGTGTGTGGGAGTGATTGTGAGCGGTGGTGTAGCGGTTAGCGCTACGCTGCGCTACGAACTCGGCCACCCGAGTTCGATTCCCGTTCACGGCCAACACCGGTGACGATTATCTGAACAGGTCCTGGGCCTCTCCTAGGTCGACTCAGCCTCAAAGTAATACTTGGTGCGGTGTGTAAAACATCGCCACTGGGGGCGTATTGCTGGCCACCCATCCCTTCGTGTGCCGTGCCACTCGCCGACAGCACTTGCCCCAACAGTCTGTGAAGACTATACGGGGGAGGAGGGGGGGTCTTTGTCTCTCTTTGTGAATGTGTGTGATGTGGTTGAGTGTCTGTGATGTGTGTGTATGAGTGTGTGTGTGTGAGAGAGTGTGAGTGAGTGTGTGATGATGTGAGTGTGTGATGATGTAAGTGTGATGTGATGTGTATTAATGTGTGTGTGGGGAGTGGTGGCGCAGCGGTTAGCGCGCTGCGATTCGAACCCGGCGACCCGAGTTCGATTCTCTCTCACGGCCAACATCAGTGGCTATTATATTAACCGGTAGTAAACACTGGGGAGACAAAGGCGGTCGGGCCTTTATAGGTGCTGCTACTCGCTAACAACAGCACTTTCCCCTACAGTCTGTTACAGGCTACACGGGGGGCATCTTTGTCTTTGTAATGATCGTTTGTGATGTGTGCGTGAATGTGTGACGATGATGATGATGTCTGTCGGGGAGCGGTGGCGCAGCGGTTAGCGCACTGTGCTACTGAACCCGGCGGACCCGTGTCCGATTCCCGCTCACGACCAATGGACAGTGACGATGGATTTTTGAGCGTGTCCCGTGCGGTGCCAGGCGCGGTGTATGGGGCCGTCCATAAATGACGTCACGCACGTGGGGGGGGGGGGGGGTCAGACATTTGTGACGATGGGGGGGGGGGGGTTGAGAAACGTGAGGTCTCATCAAAACTTTAAATAAATATAGACAACACGTTCTACTTAATTAAATATACTTTTTTTATAAATGTTTTCTCCTACAACATCAGAGTGCAGCGCCACATTAAACACGCACTACAATGACAATAGTTTAAAGCGATTTGAAGCATGTTTCATTTTCAAAATGGAAATATGGTTTTTGGGGGGGGGCAGAGCTTTGTGACGTCATATTTGAGGGGGGGGGGGGTCAAAAATCGTCCAAAATCGCGTGACGTCATTTATGGACGGCCCCAATGAACATCAACGTCGGGGGAGACAAAGGCGGCCGGGCGTGGTGCTGGTCACTCATCCCCTCCGGCCTTAATGGGTGCTCGCTAAGAGCACTTGCCCCACCAGCATGTTAAGGCTACCCGGGGAACTTTGCTCTTTGTATTTCCTGCGGTGTGGCGCCCTGCCAATGAAGAGCGGTGGTGCAATGGTTGCCGCACTACACAAGTCCAATATACCGCCACGGCTTACATCGGGACGGTTGTGTGCCTCTTCTAGGTCGACTCGGCCTTAAACGAGTGCGGTGCAGCTCACACCATCATCATCATCGACACCAGTGGCAAACTTTAGCTGATGTTTTTGTCTTTCCTAGAAGCTCATCTGGGGCTTCCTCTAGATCGACTCGGCCTGAAAAATAGGTTGATATAATGATCAAGGAGAGAAGACAAAGGCGGTCGGGCGTGCATGTTTCTACTCACCACGTTATTCGTATGGAGATGTTAACTACCTCGCCTGGACTACAGGAGGTCGTGGATTCGATCACGACCCTGACGCCTGTTGTATATTTGTAGTTTGCGTGTCTCTCTCTCTCATCATCATCACGGTGGCTAGGAGATGTTAACTACCTCGCCTGGTATACAGGAGGTCGTGGGTTCGATCCCGCCTCTGACGATGCCTGCTGCTGTATATTTGGAGTTTGCGTGTCTCTGTCTCTCTCCCCGCGTGGATTTTTGTTTTGCTCCGGGTCCTCCGGTTTTTCCCCGACCACATTTAGAAACGACATCGCGCATTTCGAGAATATTTGGCTACTGCTACATACATTTCCCCGTGATGATGACGATCAGCCACTTTTCGATTTAAAGCTTTCGTGACTGCAGGGATTCATCTTCTTGGTTCTTTCGGTAAAGTCACGTAGATCTACGTGACTTTACCGAAAGAACCAAGAAGATCAGCCACTTCGTTTGGGCTATCATTTGTGATGACCAGGTCGCTTCTGAACAAAGAAGTCCAGTGGGCCTTACCTGGTTAAAATAAAATAAATAGTTTCCATGGAAGTTTTTTTTGCCAGTATCAAAAATAAGAATAGATGTT